CTTCATTTTTTACTCTTGAACGGTGGGCGCATGAGGTCATTCGACCGTTCGGTGGCCCAGGAGCAACATATTCAACCGCGAACATTTTGGGCACTGAGGGAATTCAAGATTATGTTGCAGGACTCTGGGGCTGTCCACGAATCCCGCTGGTGGTATTATTTAAAGTGGCCGGCCAACCGCTCAGGGTTTCTTTTAACGTTGAGGATATTCTCACCAATGTGGGTTCTTTCATCGGAAGATTATGCGGACCAGCCTCAAAGCTTTTTTAACTAGTCCTGGCATCATACTTCACTGCATTTCCTTTGAGTTCCGCTCTCCACGTTTAGTGCGAACGCCAATTTTCATTTTAAGTCAAACGATTTATTAGGCTGAATCAGTTTTTGGACAGGCAGAAACAAGTTTTCAAGCCCCAGCATCATCCCGTATTCACCGCTTGGATATACCTGGTAGCGATGGGCCACGAGAGCAATTACTAGCACTTTGCAAGGATGGGGCCGGTGCGTTTAGGAACGCGTACCTATCCATGGGTGGAGGGGCTGAAAGATTCAAGCGGACGGTTCTGCAAAATTTGCTTGGCTTTGTATTGTGCCACTTTCCGGTCGCGGAGGAGATTATCCATTTCTTGCGCGGGCATGGAAACCAAATACGAAAACGGCTCCGAACGACCGGGTGGCCACAAGTGTTTCGGAGCAAGCGACAATCAGATTTGGATCCGTACCGTTGATGTAAATGCGAAGGCACTAATTCTAAGCCGGCGGCCTCAATGACCGTTATGGGGCTGTCCAGAAGCCGGAGTATGTCTGTCACTGATAGCGTAGCACTGCCATAATTAGTGTGATGGCACATCTGCCTACCCTCGACCGTCACTTGCTTCCCACCTAAGATCGTAACCACGATTGAATTTTTCACCTGGCCCTAAATGCTCCTCGGACGAGTTCGTTGTAACCTGCCGAACCTTTCGTTCCAATTTAACCAACCCGGGTCTCCGCTGCGATTTCGGTTTGCCCCATGCACAACTTCAGTCTCATTTAAGGTGTTCGTTTGGCCCTGTGTATTGGCACTATATTCCATAGAGACTATCCCCTACATCTGAAATCCCTACAATAGTGACACCAGTGGGTTCACTTAGATGCAACGCAAACCATATTTTTGAGACAAAACTTGCCATTTGTCTCCACTTTAAATTCTTCCATTTCAACCTACACTTGTGCTTTTGGTGACACTAACCATCTACGTAACCGCCAAGGTCACTCATGGTAAACGATAATTATCAGTTTTGTTCATGAACCAGTCATGAACTAGTCGCACCACACACCCATTGTGTTTTTTTGGTTCCCACAACCTCGTGAATTTTACACGTCATAAACATGTCTCGTTTGTCGTACCTTTCCCCTTGTTGTGTTGCGGCCCGCCACGTTTTAACGCCCGATGACGCCTCGATCGGCATGTTCCCTACACGTTGGGAAATCGATTTTTTATTATTTTGTTCAAGTGTGACTCTCAAGCTTATTCCAAGAAAGCACTATTCAGTTGCTTTTGAGCAGTTGAAGTACACTTTAAGTGGTCCCTATCAAGGATGATTCAACCTGTGACCTGTCAGGGCGAAATATCTGAGGGCGAAATCTCTGAGTAAATCGCTTTCAATTGATTAGGAGCACAGGCGATATCCGCTCAGTCAGCCGTGATATTCAGAGAGGTAATGGAACAGGAGGCAAAAGTAGATTATGCGGGGCGTTTTTGACAGCCTGAAATTTTAACCGCATTTTTCGAAGATCGGCATTAAAGGTTTTGGGATTTTATAGTGTTCTTTTTGCGATTCGTCAGGTTTACACCCACTGTAATAAGTGGGGGACTACATCCGCAACGTGCTTTTGATTTTGCGCCTTATTGCCCGGTACTCTCTCAAAATGACTGGGATTTTGTGTTGATTCAAACCCAGGGCGATCAAGGAGAGGTATTTATGATAAGTCCCTAATGAAAGATAGTCGAGTATATTGGTTTAACTTGTTCTTACGGAGTGAACAGTAATTTTTCCAAGGCAACGGCGTGAATGTTACTCTTATAAATCCGACACCTGCTGTAGCAGCCAAATGAAGTGAAAGATGTGTTCCTATCCGGCAAGACATATAAGACATGAATCCAAAAAAATATGCAAACCTCGTCATTAGATGCTAGTCCGCGAAAAATTTTCCACTTAGACTAAAAAAGAACGAACCAAGCGAGCAGGCAGACATACGTGAGGCAGTTACACCTGCATAAGGTCAGCCACAAAATCAAAGGATACCGTCAAGGTCAAATGAGTGCTGGCAGAGACAAACAATTGCCAGTTCATACGCACGCATTAAACACAAAAGTGGACGGAAGTTACAAATGTGGACAGAGGAAACACGGAGAATTTCAAATGTCAATGTAATGGACGATATACCGCCCTTCAAATTCTCCGCATTGATTCAGCGGGAGACCCGGTTCTGGCGCCCCACCTATGCTCAGCTTCTTTCTACGCCTCCCATAGGAGACCAACAAGAATGATACAAGCCCACTGGCGCCTCATGTGCCGACTGTGATAAAGCACAAATCCATTTTCGTCCCTCGTGTAAATATACTTTCCCGAAATCTCCCCTGAGAACGTCGCCCGCCTTTCCAAAATGCCAAAGTTCTTACTAAGCTATCTGAGCTGGCCTCATATTTATCTACCAGCGCTATAGGCCATCTTCACCTGAGACTAACTCCACTCGCTTCAGTTCTTGAGATGCTCTTATCCACTGAGCACTTGTATGCCGTGAAACGATCATTCATCTTGTGCAATGCGGCAACTACAATGAGAGCACTTAACGACTGCTCGTTTAACGCCACCACTTCCGCCGATAATCAGATATGGCTCTCGGATAGATGCTAAGATCCACGACACACTACAGTGCTATTCGACTTCACGAGAATGATGTGCCCTGTCGGAAGGAGAAATGAACCAACTGTGGTTTGGGTCTCTTATTCTATCTCTACTCATCATCGTTCAAGATGAGTGGCTACTTCCCCGAGCGGCCGTTTTGAATCCCATTGCTCGGACACTTTTCATTCAATACAGATGAGTGAACCGCGTGCAAATTCAGTGCGACGTAAGCGAGCTGCACAATCTTTATCAAACAATTAACTGCTTGGTGGAGTTTGGACATTGAGTATACAAGAAAATGGGGCCGCTCTGCTCGCCATACCCAGTTTATTCAACAGATGCTGGCTGTAACGTAGTGACCAGGAAACAACCTGTGGCCTCACCCGAAAGGAAAACTCAGCCAGTAGTTGAGCACATGATATCATTTTGCCCGAGTTGGTGGACATGTCCTACAGAGCTCCTCATCTCGGGTGACGTCAATAGGGGCAGTAGAGGCCAATTACTATTTTGTTGCATTAAGCATCTTGGCCCAGTTATTCATCCACGCGGCGGAATGAGGTTGTATGTCTTTTGGGAGACAACGTCGCTTAGATTGTTCTCCGACGTCACGTGTGTGCATTGAGTAGGTGATGACACAAATACTTGTTAGTCGAGTTTCAACGAGGGTACAAAATCCAGAAGGTATTTTATGCATATAGTGAGGAACTATTGTGGAGTCTGTCCAAAACACAGTACACTAAGGGTAACCATTTTATTCGCCCTGATTAGATATGCTATTTTGACTGCACACGGTTGTCAAACCTGACCTGACCGGACTCAAGGGAGACCACCCGCGCCACACATGTCTCTACTATCAATAACCCCTGTTCCCCCTCTTCCACGTAGCCGAGCGAAAGACGCAAGACAAAAATTGGCTACTGGTGCGACGCTCCCACATGGTTTGCGTCTACGAGTGCAATGCTGGTTGTAGCAAGTACTATGAACCATTCCAGCTAAGTTGAATCAGTCCAGCATAGTGGAAAGTAACAGGAAAACCTATTGGATATAGGCATTTTAGGTGATAATGTAGTAACCTTGAAAGCACTGCGCTTATCGAGAAACTGACTCTGGCGTATACCGGTCCGTTTATACGACAAGTGAACACTGCGCATCATCTTTCAGGTACCACCCGCCTGAAACAATCAATCGCCTTTTAATATCATTTTATTCCCGACTGCGAAATTGGCCAGTATTTAGAAGCAACTGCATTTTCGTGGCTGTCCGGCCTCTGGGTCGCACTGCGCATTCATGGTGATACTGGATTTCATTTCATGATCTCCTAGATCCCTATCAGCTCCAAGTTTAGAAGTGTAAATGAAACGAAAAGGCCATTCTAAACTTACGATCCTCGATGTCATTCCCCTCGGGAAGCTTAGATAGCGAATTGGCGACAAACATCTGGTTTGGTGGTGTGGACGCTCATGGCCCTGCCTTTAAGATCGTTTAATTACCCCCACGGACCTTCTTGCAGTAAATTCACATTTCTGTTGACGACTAAGGTAGGACTTATAATGTCCGTGATCCTCATCTTTTGCATGGCTGTTGAAACAATGGGGAATGGCCGAGACTTCCAGCGATTCGTTTACTTTTTTGCGGGCTTCACTCTAGATGTAGATAGACTGCACTAAATAATAATAACCATCAAACCACATTCTATTTTATGGCTATATCCTATTAGGTTTCAAAATTTTTTACTCAAATATAGTGAGGTGGCGAAGAACCCCGGACGCAGAAAAACAAACCCTGCTCATTTGGAAAAGAAAAATTGGAAAAGGGGGCGGAATGAGGAAAGGATGGAGAAAAGATATGCAAAATTAGCGGGAGGAAATTCATTAACCGATCCATTACCCGAATCCCGCCCCCATCACTATCCAACGGTTATTTTGCTATATTTACGGATTACCCGCGGACAAGCAATATTCTCTACTCCATCATCTCCACATACGTGAACCCCACTGGAAGATCTAGCTTCCTTGAATTTGCAAGGAACTCTTGCGGATGACGAAAATCCCCTCATCCGATCCAGACTCAGATTCCAACCAATGAGGGCTCAGTATTTTTACCACTCGTTCAACTTGTGTAGTCGCGCCGGACGCTTATTTCACAAGCACAATGTGCCTGCCGAAGTGTGGACCTGGGGACTCACCTAGGCGCTACAGAGTGTGAGTTCTGCTCTTAATTACACTATTACTCATAGCTTGAAAGTCAGCATATGTGTATATGATACCTTTGTGCTGCGGTATGGATGCCCTCGTGCAATGTCTGTGACTGTCTTATACCATCATTGTATTACGCCGGAGTTTCTTCTTGTCGCAGTCTCCTGGGGTTATTAAAACTGAATATCACTATTACCACAACCTTTCGACTTCCAATTTCAATCTATAAGATGACCATGAAAAGCGTCGTAGGGTTTTAGTGAATGAATTTCAGTTTTGGTTTGTGTGTGCTACAACAGTGCATGTGCCGGAGCACACGCAGCTCAAATACCGACTCGTTATCTTAGAGACAATGGTGACAAATGCTGGAACAGCGCGACATTCCTTTTGACCTGCAATAATGTTCATTTTTCTCGTCTTGAACGCTGCTTTTGATTCTGTTGGTCGTTAGAAACCGCGAGTGTCTGGCGATGAAAGGCGTCCATTCCAAATTCTTGTTTCATGATAACAATTCGGAATGTGATTATAGAGCCGCCTCCAACCTCAGAAGCGTCCAAGTGCATACCTCTGTTCGAGCGTTATCGTGGTTCTAGTCCTAACGACCCCCCACCTGCTCTGTTCGTGGAAGGCAGTGAATTCCTCAACCAGTGACCGTCTAGTATGTTTGCTGCTATCTGGGGCGAGATAACTCAGTGATTAGGGCGCGAATTTACTGACCGGAAGGTCCGTCGTTCGAACCCGACCTCTGCCTCTCGACTTCCCCTGTCTCGGCTTGGGCAACCTGGCAGTATCGCGGCCCTCGTGCTTCATTCTGGTGGCATGGCAGTTAGGCATCGAAAGGGTGCTGCAGCTGGACGATTTTTGTCTCATGACAGTTCTAAAGCGGCTGCCTGTTCGGCGTGATGGTCGGACTTGAATGCTGCAGTGGTCCAGCTGGTCATACTAACTGAAATTTCCAACAGGTGCAGGCAAACAGGGGAAACCGAAGAAGAGCGTTCAAATCAAAAGCAGCTAGCCCCCGTATTATGAAGGCGGTCTAAAGCTAAAGTCTTCCTGTTCACGAGGATAGAAGTTTAAAGTTAGGGAGGTGTTTCCCATAGACACGCAGTACATCCTGGTTCATGCAGGCGGCATTGCTTCCTTCCATTGAGGAAGTACAGGTTTGATAAGGTCAGCGCCGAACAACCGGACACTCCGATCGCCCAACGATTGCGCATGATCGCCGACTAGTTGTCTATGCTGTCTAGAAGCAAATAAATCTTGTCATGAACTTAATGTGGCTCTAAGTTCATCTGCTGTGCGTTTCAACACTCATCAGGTCAGCCCACCCTGCAGCTGTGCAGGTCAGGGTATTGATTAATCGGCTCCATGCAGAGTCCTCCCAAGAAAACCCTACTGTTCGCTGTCTGGCTAGTCAGAGGCTAGGGCAAGTATTCCCGGACAAAACCTCACACCTTTCCTCCTTGTGGGTCAGAAGTTTGAGCCCGCGGTTCGAGGAGGAGTACTCGTCCTCCCACTAGGAATCAAGACGTATCATTTGTCCGCTCATTTCGTTTTTCACTGATGTGTTTTGCCAGTCCCATTCTACTCTACAAACGAACGTTGCCTGTTATTTGATTGCATATCTTATCTACCGAGCTGCACTTTGGCAATAAACAAAATAACGCTTCGCTAAACCATGGGATTTTTTCTGTATATAAGCTTTCAACTTCCGCACCCATCTCAACTCACCAGACAGTTAGTGCTCGCCCAAACTTTGTACCCCCTGGAAATTTGTGTATCGTGTCTTTAAAACCGTTGCCTTGAATCTTGAAGGGCCCATGGCGAACCCAGCCCTCACGCATTTCACTCTGTGTATCCGGTGATCCATATGATGGGGGTGATTCGATGACTCGTGGAATGTGTGGCGTGGGGATTGCGCTCAGTCCTGAAGCTGAATGCACTTTGCTGGTTTGGATTCCAGTAAACACTTTGCTGTCCGGTTATCCAGCTCAGTCAGGGTCATTACTACTCCACATAAAAACTGGTTCCTGTTTGTACTGTCAGCATATTTCCAATGAACTGTGGTTCTGATGCTGAGAAGGATGCTTTCTGTCGAAATTCATTCGGGCTCATTTGCCAAGCAAGAAGCATTAACACTGCCATGTCTGCGGGTGATGTAAGTTCCTCTTGGTTCCTTAGACATACATCCTGGCGGTCAATTCGGCGCAGACAACGGATAGTGGCTCCTCTGTTTGTGCTGACCATGAACTGTTTCTGGTGGGCACTAATTTTCAACGTAATTGTTCGCATCGCGTTACCTGGCCACAAAGTGCAAGTGATCCATGGAGCTAGGTCACTGCTATCAGCCGCCGGTGAAGAGCCAAATTCAGCACTACCGTTTCCTCGGACACTCAACTTGATTCCAATCAATCCACGGTGCGAGCACCTCTGGCAATCTGCTTTCATTTAGGTACTCGCAATTCAGCTAGAAGTATGTCGATATGCCATTTTCGGAAAGCTACCACTGCTCAGATACTCTAAGAAGTAAACGAACACCACTGGGTACGAATACGTGGGTGAAGCATGATAGCATGTAAAATGAGTTATGCTAGTGGCGTTCACAGCTGTCTGTCCGACCTTTGACACGGTCGAATGACCATCGAAAATCATCGTGACCTTTAATCCTGATTGATGTTCGGAAATACATACCAACAGGCAGCGAATACAATGGCGCATGCAAACTCCGCAAATACCAAATAGTGGAGACTCAAGGAAACTATCGAGCGCTTTGGTGAACAATGAACTCTTCGGTAATGGAGAAGACATTTGCCACCGGAAACAGCCTCACCCTAAGCCAGATAATACGACCGAATTTTTCAAAGAAAGCAACCGTCAGTGAAATAGCGAAAGAAAAAGGTGGCTCCGTAGTTAGTTTAAAAGAAGGCCGATAGAAATGGTGTACCGAACACTCCGAAGAGCAGTCTAGCTGGCCTCAATCAACACATCCCATGAAGATAGTGCATGCGAGCGAATGAAATGTAAACCTCAATCAATAAAGTGCGAAATATAAGCAGTGAAACTTGAGAAGGCACCAGAAACGGATGGTTTGCATCCAACTCTCTTCAAAAAAAGACAGCATGACATCAGTGTTCAACACCGATGCTTCACTGCCGTAACTCTCTTCAAAGAAGGCGAAAAATCCCTTGTTGCATTTCTGACAAAATTTATTGATACTATATGGAATGACGTGAAAATGCCTGCTGAATGCAACAGTTATTTCCATCTAAAAATCGTTCAGCTGACCACCCCTTCAGTGCCCAGCTGCCATGTCAACGCAAAGAGGCACGAGGGCTGAGTACTGTCAGTCAAGGCTAGACAGGAACAGTCGAGATGCAGATGTGGAGTTCTAACCACAAACCTCCCGGTCCGTAAGCTGGCGCCTTAAGCATTGCGCTATCTCGAGGTTCCTATCTAAGAAAGGGGTTGCTTACACGTCGTGAAACAATCGAGGCATTAGCATGGCGGTTCTCGCGTCACAATTACTCTTTGGTCTCATCCTTCAGATATGTGGAAACCAATTTGGGTCTCGTCCTGCTAGGGTATGCAAAGATCACCCTTCGACAGATCCCGGAACAGTGATACTACTTCCGACAACTAATAATGGTGGTCCTTCTTAACTTGAATACTGTCTTTGACTGTGGGGACCGTCAAACAGTATGGTAGTGTGTGCAGCAGAGATATTCCTCATAAATTCTTGATCCCTTCGAAGCGCTGTTCATCTACCCCCGTGGACGTCTGAGTTCACCACACCAAATGGTGCCAGGCAATTCCGCCATTGATGTGGTCGTGGATGACTCATACCATGGATGACTCATATCATAATCCGTGTGCATCTCAGGGCATTCGCTCGCAGATCTTGCGACCAAATGGCTCAGTGGTTAGGGGCGAATATACTGACCAGAAAGTCCGTAATTCGAATCCAACCTCTGCCTCTCGACTTCCCTTGCTTGGCCTCTAACACCCCGGGGATCGAAGTACTCTCGAGGCGTTCACTCACAGGCATTGAGTACGCTTGCGATATTACTCTTTTGAGTCAGACTCATGCCTGCAGATGAACCGATCAGTGTGGTGGATAAGTTTGTCTGTTTGGGCGGCTGCATGGGCTCTGTCAGATTGACGAAAGCACTTACGAGTTGGGAAGTTCGGGACAATTTATGTCACCATTCGACATTTGTGGCGCGGACTCTGTTGAATAAACTGACCAACTTTGACATGCGCTTTGTACCTTCAAAGTGCAAAGTTGTGCTTCAAAACCTACCTCTTACAATTGAAGGGTTCTAGAGAATTTCACACACTTCGGTAGTTGTAGTAGCTCTGATGTAAGTGCGTCTGATGAAGACAGTGCATGAATCTCAAAGACCCAAATCTCGTTTGCTAATCTGCGCCACTTGTAGCGTATCATTTGGTTTCATGGGTTGCGTGTGCCAGGCTACAGTAAGGGCAGTTTTGTTGTTTGGGTGCGAAACGTGGCCTCTGCGGACCAATGATATGCGGCGTCTTCAGGCTTGTAATGCCTCAGAAGTGTTCAGGTGTAGGATGGCTTCAACAACTTCGTGACGAGGTGGTTAGAAAGCTGTTGCGTCTGTGAAACATACTTCTGTCGCAGAATCCATCCAGCACCGTCAACTGCGGTGGCTCAGTTGTGTGCTACGCATATCGAAATACCAAGTTACAATCGTTCAGCTGTAGCATCCTTTCGGTGCCTGGCTGTCATGCCACGCAAAGGAGGCACGAGGGCTGGGTTACTCTCAGGTTCCCAAAGCCTAGGCAGAGGATTTCGAGAGGCAGAGGTCGGGTTCGAACCACGGACCTTCCGGTCAGTAAATTCGCGCTGTAACCACTTGGGCCATCTCGCCCCCCCGTGACACCATCAACCAAAACGGGTGTTGCCGTCCGTTCCAGGATGGGATCCCCGTGATTTTGTCTACGCGTGGCTGAAGAAATTGCGAGAACTGGCGGCTGTTCGGTGTCAGTGGCGTGCGTGCCGTCAGTTTTTTTTCCAGATTGTCTTACTGAGAGCTTGGAGGTGTAGGCGCTTCAGAATGCTCGACATAGGCCAGCAGTGGACCCCTCCCTCACCCACTCTTTTTCTTTCCTTTTCACTCCAAGACTTTGAATATAACTAGATGAATTATATGGCTGTGTGACGTTGAAGCATCAGTGTCGACGTTGTTGTTCCTGTCTCTGATGATGATGTTGTTTGCGGGTGACATCAGTTTCACTGTGTAGAATAGAGTGTACAATCTTGTGGTTCAGTGCACTTTAGTCTTTGACTCAGAGACGTGTTGGTTTTGTGTGGAGGACCGTCGCTTTCTCCGGAGCATTGCGCGTACCATGTGAGAACATCAAGTCATTGATATTAAATTTCGTCAAATGGATTTCAAGGAAGGTAAATCATCCTTGCTAGGTCAGCTGGTCATTTTCCACAGGTTACGCTGGTTAGGCCATGTACTTCGTATCCAGGAGGAGCCTTGCAGAACTCTCTTCGTACGGCAGTGAAGCATCGGTGTTGAACACTGGTGTCATGCTGTCGGTAACGGAGCGTGAAACTCTTCCCTAGCCAATTCGATAGCGTTGGTAGCAACCGTCTCCCCAACCCCGGGACGAGACAAACCAATCGCTAATGACACAAATTTGCTGTGTTGCTCAGCCAATGAAGATCTTGAATTGTAGCTACCGCCCACGCCGCGTACTTCTTTCACTGTACCATGACAAAGAGAATCACTTAATGTCCCTGAACTGGCTGGCCGTCGCCTCCAACGCGTGGCTATCATGCCCTTATTCTTCTATCAGAATCGCGATACCTGTAATTCTCGCTGACCTGAACAACCACGAAAATCATCCTAGAAGCTGTCTTCCTCGGCCTGAGAGCCGCCGCCTGTTCGAGAGCATGCGCACATAATAAACAAACACTGTTTGCTGGGTCTAGATCCATTGGTCTTGTTTAACCTAGTAATGGATAGACGGCTGTTTACTGAAATAGTTCAGCGTAGCGCGTTCAGCCCTGAAGCACAACTCCTACGCCGTACGTACCACAAGCCACTGCATCAGGATCATGAGACGCCAGAGTAGTTTAGTGTCAGAAGTTCGGGTTCTTTCCGAGCTGTTTGAGGTGTATGGTAAACTGAGGTCTTGTGTGCCTATTTCCGAGACGCAGCATACATCGAAGGCCTACCTGTTATCTAATTTCACACGGAAAATGGACGATGAAAGCGCTGACTGGTTCCTGGTTATAAGTTTGCCGCCCCATGTGTGGGAAGAATGAATGTGTGCGGAGAAGAAACGGGATCTGTGAAGGGTGTAGTAGACACAGGTGGCTAATAATCGTTCAGCTGAAACACCCTTTCGGTGCCCAGCTGCCCCGTCACTTGAACGAGACTCGAGAGCTTAGATACTGCCAGGTTTCCTAATCCCAGACAGGAGCAGTCGAGATTCTGAGGTTGTGTTCGAACTACGGATCTTTCTGTCACTAACCCAGCGTCCTAACTACTGAGCTGTCTCGAGCAGTTTTATGCGACTAGCGGGTCAAGAGGTAGATTTGAAGGTCAAGCGTACGATGTTGCGATTAAAGGTAGTGGGGGGGGGGACGTATATGGTGTCGTCCAGAACTAATACCTGCCGACCGGTCAATCAGCATGCTAGATTATTTCCAGGCTGGACAGAGAACAAACCGTCTCTTGAGTCGAAAAGACCAGACTGATTCCACAGCGATGCTGCTTACTCGATCCCGCTTTACGGGCTGCCAAAGTGATCCCGTCAGGTATTGCGTAAAACAAACCTTTGAGCCCAAATTCACAGATTTTTACGCTACAAAACTAGGAATTTTGGACCACTGTGAAAGAAAAATTCGAACTATTTGCTTCACTTTGTGGACATGCCTATGTATGGGCTGATGGTTTCTTGTCGCATTCGCCTGACCTAAGTAATACCAAAAGCACACTATTTGTAACCATATCCTTCTTATTTTTTTCAAGAAGTGGTACCAGGTAACCATCTCAGCCTTGGCTAATTAGCAGAAATACGATTTTTTAAGAGCTGACTTGCTGTAATGTGTTCTTCGTTTTCTCTCAGTAAGTTAGGACAAAACTCATCCAACTATTGAACTGATCTACGGAGTCACGCTACAGGACGCTTTCTTGCAGGCACAAGTACACAAAGAAGCATCAGGATACAGTTTTTAATGGGACATTTTTACATGTATGGTTGGAAGCTCGAGAAAAGCTTGGAACGTTGACCCTTTTGATGCCTCACGAGACTGTACTGGAATGTTTGACTAGTTTCAGGACAACTAAATGCGGTTCTACTGGTAGAATCCGATCCCTACTTCTACCAGCGAATGTTATTTTAGAAATGTAGACAGATCTGGGCAATCTCTTGAATGTCTAACCGATACGCATACCATACGAATCTCTCGGAAATCTTGAATGAACTAGACCGCCCCACAGAGGCGAAAAATGGACAGCATTATACCACGGAAATCACACTCAGCCGATAGCGGCATCTACCAAAAGCATTTCGCATATGGCATTTGCTTAATTACGGAATGTGCCGTGATGTTCAACACGAGTCATCATAAACATATTCGAACCCTTACGGCGTAACAGCTGATGCTCTAGTAATGTTACTTCATTTTCAAAATCTTAAGTGCTATTGTGCTGCCACAGCCGTGCTCTTAGAATAGAACCTTTCCAACAAGGGCACGATTTCCCGAGATGTGTTTTCATGGACGCTTCGTACGACAGATATTTTGATAATTCGTGGATTGCTGCTAAGAGGCCTCATGTAGGATACAAGGTGTATGGCATGCTGGGGGCGAGATGGTTCAGTGGTTAGAGCGCGAATTTACTGACCGATAGGTCCGTGGTTCAAAACCGACCTCCGCCTCTCGACCTCCCCTGTCTAGGCTTAGGCGACCTGGTAGTATCCCAGCTCTCGTGTTCCCTTCTGGTGGCATGGCAGTTAGACACCGGAAGGGTGCTACAGCTGTATGGGTGCTGATGACGCGGTCATGTCCTAGTGAGTCCTTATCTGTCAGGCAACTCACCCTGTTGGTTCTTCCTACATGTTCGCGGGTCTACCACACCGATAGGATCATCCTGCATGGGTTACTACAACTATCCTCGCTATTTTGAAACCGTCTATTGCTAGCCCTTGTAATATTTCGTTGTTTAATTTCCACCGCGTACGAAACTCCCCACTTCATGTTGCTTTTCGTCATTCTTCTATATTTTGCCCACAATACAGACCTAACAAGGTTAGACAGGAGTTACATTTCACCGGGAACGATGAGCAACACAAACGCCAACATAGTCCAGATGTTGCAGTCTCCGAGGTGTCATCTTACGATGCCTACCTTCCATTTGGTGGACAATTCACTGGCACTGACACGCTTGACTGTGTACCTGTTCCTACAGAAGATTCTCAGGCTAGCTTGCGACGGGAGAAATCTCGGATTGCAGCCAAAGTTCGTCGTCAGAAGGAAAACCAGTCACTTGTTCGACTGCGGCTTACACTACCCATTCATGCGGGTAAAGCAACTCACCCGCCGCACATTCGAAAGCCAGCAGAAAGCTACTCTTCCGTCGTTGATGACGACAATGACTCATCCAATGGTGACCGGCTGGACAGCTTCGCTCTGTGTGAAGTACCCAGCTACCGCGCTGCTTGCTCCGTGTCCCGACAACAGCAGATGGCTGCACCGGAATTTGAAAAGGCTGTAACCATTCGTCTGGCTGGCAACTCGCTTTGTTTGTACAATTGGCTTTATCCAGAGGAACATTCAGGTTAGAACTCATCTATGTGGCAAACTGGTCATATCCCCTAATTGTGTTGCTGTCATTATTGTCCATTTTCATGCGGTTAATGTCAAAAACTGCAGATTAAAACACTCATGTTATTGGTTTTCACACAGACAGACACACATACATACAGATAGATAGATAGACAGACAGACAGGCAGGCAGGCAGATATCCACTAGTAGTAACTCTGATGCCGCTAACCGTTACAGTCACCGATTCTCCCTGTCTACGAAACCTGAAGCTCCGCCAGCATTCAAGTTCAAATTTTTTGACTTCATTTGAAACTCAAATCTAAAAGGCCAAAACGCATGCCACAGACACACGAAAATTATAATTTAGTGAATATATTGTCCGACTTTAGGAGAATAAAAGAGTTGCAATATTGGTCACATTTTTTTCGTCCGCCCTTTTTGAGGATCCTAAAACTTCGAGAAGACTGTTTATCTTCAAATGTGAAGTTTTAAGCGGATGATTACCTCTCAGGGTACGATATGTATGTTCACAAGAGGCTCGATCATCAATTCGCGAACCAATGGTCGCATGTGTGAATAGCAGCTTGTATCTCAGTCGGGATTTAGCCAATATGCCTATGCCTTTACGTTCTTTTCTGAAACCGATGCTCCTCAAAAAGTCCAAAATTTCTTGTAGTACTTTGACCTTATATCGACATACTCATAAGTCGTCGCTGTAGGAAATAAGCACAAGTCCCGCAAGTAAGGTCAACCGATTGATTTGACAAGGTCTTCGAATATGGAGATTTAATTTCAAGCAAGAGCCCGCGAACTTTCCTGAACGTTTGGTCAGGTTGGTCACCTTGTACAGACTTGAAAATGATCCAACGTATTACAGATCCTGTTCTAAAGCAATGTGTAAGGGCCATGTAGACACTTGGCGTCATGCAGAGCGAACGCTTCTGATACACAATTGAGTCGCCAGCTAGGTCGCTTAACGATTTGTTGTGGATGAACTCTGATACCGATTGGAGACTCGTCAATCGCACTTAGTCGGATGTGGAATACCAACTGACCTGAATTTGCCGGATGTGTGCCGCGATAGTCCTAACCTAGCAGTACTGAGGGATGAATTTCGAATTTTGAGTCATTCTTCTAAACATTGTTTGAGTTAGATTGGGGGCGAGATGGCCCAAGTGGTTAGAGCCCGAATTTACTGACCGGAAGGTCCGTGGTTCGAACCCGACCTCTGCCTCCCGACTTCCCCTGTCTAGGCTTGGGCAACCTGACGGTATCCCAGCCCTCGTGCAACCTTCGGGTGGCATGGCAGTTAGGCATTGAAAGGGTGCTACAGCTGAACGATTTTTTTGAGTTAGATTTCAGAACGCAAACTGATGAACATTAATGTTTTCAAGATTTCCTCTGGTCAGTCAAACAGCAGAGGGCTTGCAACACTGAAACCGAATGATTCGAGAAAAATACGTGAAGTCATTGGAATCGTTTGTCTGTTTGTCCGGTGGTCGCGTATGAGTCAGAGTATGAAAGTCTTATTGGGCGTGTCAGAAGACTAAGTGACATTTTCCTGCACCCAACCACTGCATACTAAGGTGGCTGGGCCATGTGTTACGCATGCCGAGTTACTGTTTGCCGAGATAAGCGCTGGTTTTTTGTGCTTACTTTGGAGTGGTGCAAACTTAGAGATGGACAGAGTTTTACATGGGTAAAGAGAATTTTTGAATCTTGACAGTCGTTCACGTAGTGGTGCATCGATTGGCCTGCATCCTAGACAGATCTACCCGTAAGTAGTCGTTGATCCATTGAACTGCCGCGCGCAGTAAGTAAACCAACAGCGGCTCATGCGTATCTGGTGCTGCATGCAAGTACTTGGTACCGACGTAAAACCGAAATAATGCGGTCAGCGGACGGATGTGCCGAGGCCTGTCACAAGCCATCGATCGACCTAACATTGATGGCGTAATAAAAGACCTCGGCATCAGTTACTTGTTTATCGTCGACGTATGCAATGCTGCGTAGTCTATGGTCGAAAACAAATAGTCGTCAGCTCCCGCGTAAAATGACCATGCCTCACATCCAAACAAAAGCACTGGTCATGTTGCAAGCCAAACGGCGCAGGTGCCACCAGTGGTTAGGTTGAACACAGGCTGAACGGGATTGTTCTGTCTCAGCACTCGCATCGGCTGGCTGAAGTGACAGTACTATGTCTGTTAGCTGAGGGGGGCTTGATGGCTCGGTGGTAAGAGCGCGAATTTACTGACCGGAAGGTCCTTGGTTCGAACTCGATATCTGTTTTTCGACTACCCCTGCATAGGCTTGAGCAACCTGGCAGTATCCAAGCCCTCGTACCTCTTTTGGCAGCTAGACAGATGAATGATATCTGTCAGCCACTTCTAGTGGGTTGGTTGTCTCAGCCAGGTTAGATGATGTTCCACTCTATTTTCAAGCAGATATTTGCAGTTGGTTGTAGAAAGCCCATCCGGAGACAACTCTTTCGCAGTATCCCGAATTTTATTGGGACCTGATCCAGGAAGGACATCATCTACTTGGTGTAAATCAATCAGGTCTATGGGAGCTGCTCCTAAGTCAGTACACGTTTGATGGACAACTTTGTTCACGAACGTGGGTAGTATGGACAAGAGGTGAATTCTGGAGAAATTTCTCCACTGAACCTCACATACTCAGATTTTGGAAGCGGAGAAGTGCGTTAAAGAATTCCAGAATGTCATTATCAGTTGGACTCAGCCATAATACAAAGCAACAAGGTGAGCTACCTTCAGATAAGACAAGGCGATTATTGGTAACGATAGTGGTTGACGGAGGGTGGAGAAATGGCCCATGTATTCACGGCCTGGATGAAACCCTGTCTGCTTCCACGGTTTTACCATCCTCTGGTGCTTCGGAGTCTTCACTGGATGGGAAAGAGGGGTTTTCTTGAAAGCTTCATTTATACATAACAAGAGTGGTTAGATTTTACTGAGCCGTTTGAAAATCGTTCAGCTGTAACGAACACCCTTCGGTGCCTAACTGTCCTGACACACGGAGGAAGCACGGGGACTGAGATACTGCCAGGTTGCCCGAGCCTAGGCAGGGGAAGTCGAGAGGCAGAGGTCGGGTTCGAACCACGGACCTTCCGGTCAGTAAATCCGCGCTCTAAACACTTGGGCCATTTCGCCCCTCCCCGTAGCCTTTAACTCATCCGTTTTATACGCAAAGCAGTGGGGGTGGGACCTGTCCGGAGCCAATGACTCCAAAGTCTGACCCACCTGGGTGTGAGAAGTTGGTCTGGTTTGATAACGGATAATAAGTCATGGAAATCTGACCAGCTGTTGGGCGATCGAACTTCGAGAGCATTAGGATCCAAATTTTCTGACCTGTTTTTGTTGGGGCCAAGCCAACATTGCTGTCTCCATGTTTATGGATTTGTTAGTTGCCCGAATGTGGTGGTTAGAGCGCGAGTTTACTGACCGGAAGATCCGTGGTTCGAACCTGACCTCTACCTCTCGACTTCCCTGTCTAGGCTTGGGCAACCTGGCAGTATCCCAGTCCTCGTGCTTCCTTCTGGTGGCATGGTAGTTTGGCACCGAAAGGGTGCTACAGCTGAACGAAGGAAACTCACCACAGTAAATTTTCACCTCAAAACCGTCTCCTATTGCTCACAGTAAGGGGTTTGCTGGCTTCGCTAGCGCGGCTTAACTTCCAGAAAGGGAATCCTAACTAGCATAACTCGCGGTAGCACTTAAACTTGATCACCACATCAGAGTAACGGCTTTTTGTCTGACTCGTCTGGAAAGGGGTATATGACTAGGGGGTGCGTATTTGTTCATTGACACAACCACATATTATGTGTAGAATTGTCCCTTCGCCTACCCATACCGTGGATGAAATCGTTCAGAATGTCCTTCCTTTCTATAGCTTTGTGCGTGTGATTTTGATTGCATGGCGCTTCATTTTGCTGCTTTAAATAAAATTTGGTGGAATCTTGCTTCATGTTGCCCCCCCCCACAGATCCATCAACTACTACCACGTTTTGCGATACGGCTCGCGCATTCGGACCACTTGTTCGTCAACCTCAGTCTGTTTTTTCCCAGCCTTCGCTCAGTCTGTGGTCTCAAAGCTTGCTCGCACTGGTGGTCGATACGGCGGAGAACACCGTGGTCTTTGCACCCCCATCATACTCTCAACTCATTGGACTTCCGTGGGCACGTTGACTTCCATAACTTGAATGCAATGTTTCACATTGTTGGCCCTTTTCCAATCTTTGATTTAGCTGTTGTTCCTCTGCCGAACGTCCAAATCTAAACTCAACCCCAAAGGCACCGCATACGCTTTTCCGTTTCTAGTATTTTGGTCGAATTTCACTCAGTGTAAGCTACTGGGGCACGCACAGCATGTAACCAGCGACAACACCTAACGCATCTCAATTGTTTGGCAGTCACGATCCACCACACTCCAAGTTCGCTAGTTTGTGAATATTTCTTGCATCAGACATTGCACAAAGACTCAAATTTCAGCGTATGCTCTGGTCGCTAAAATCTGTCCTTGTGTGAACTCACAAATGATCTTTTACGGATAGAGGAATTCACGGGAAAAGAAAACTTTTTGTCAAATGGGGATAAAATAATAATAACCGTTCGGCTGTAGCACCCTTTTGGTGCCAGCTGCCATACCACCCGAAGTTTGGACGAGGGCTGGGATACTGCCAGATCGCCCAAGCCTAGACAGAAGAAGTCGAGAGGCAGAGGTCGGGTTCGAACCACGGACCTTCCGATCAGTAAATTTGCCCTCGTACCACTTGGGCCATTTCACCCCAAATGGGGATCTCCACGAAGTGAACGTCAGTTTGTCCCAGTCATGAATATGCAAGGATGTTACATACCTGGTGCATTCAAAACAGACCAGGGGGAATGCCTACACAGTGCACTCACCGGAACTGTCCAAGGCATCCAGTCAGCCGATACATTATTAGCAAGCTTGATGTCTTATGAAAGTGTTTCTTCGAGGCGGTTTACTGTGTTAGCTTCTCTAGTATCCTCAATCGAGATTTCATCCTGCCAGTGAAGCGAATCCATGGTAAAAAGTCGAGAAGCACTGTACAACTCTTTCATCCTAATTGGGCATCATCAGCAGTGCGCACCTCAGGAAACCCCAGGGAGCTTCGAACCCGCGACCTCCCGGCTAGTAGTTTGAACGTTCAACCTTTCAGCAACGGGTTGATCAGCTGATCAGTTTGCACTTGGACGGGATATAGCTACACTCATCCTTCAATCACGGGATCCACGTCACACTCTAACCAGCTCCTCGAGTTGCGACTCAGATGGACTTTTCATTCGTCCGATGAATTTTCTCTCTCTGAGTTACTTGAAGATTGATGGTGCGAGTTAATCGCAATGCAGATCACTCGCTCATGGCCGAGTACTGCAACTGAAAATTGCCAAAATGCCACACTACCAGCAGCTTCCAGGATCTGCCGACAATGACTGGCGGGAGGTGACGAAATGGATTACCTCCTCGAGGAGCCAAGCTGTCTTTGAGGCTGTTTTCTGTCTTTCTTTGACGGTAACCACCCTAATCAGTTGAAAGCGGTATGTGATCCTTCCAAAATATACACGTTCGAAGTTTCCAGTGAGTTGTTCACCTGGGGCTAGATGGCTCTGTGGTTAGAGCGCGAATTTACCGAATAGAAGGTTCGTAGTTCGAACCGACCTCTGTATTTTGACTTCCGCAGTCTAGGCTTGGGCAACCTGACAGTATTCCAGCCCTCGTGCTTCATTTGGGTGGCACAGCAGCGATGTACCGAAAGGGTGTTACAGCTGAAGGATAATTTATTATTCTAATTGCTTACCTGGCGCGTTTCTCCGCCCTAATTTGTCTACTTTTCATTCCATCTCCCACCTATCAGAATTCTATCATCGGCCTTCAGCTACCGGAATTACGCGCAAGACAGTTTGTTGCGGCAGCGTCGGTCTCTACTTCTCCATCCCCGAAGTTGCGAACTGTAAAGCCGCCCGTAACCCAGACCCGTTCCACTGATTCGAACAGTTCCATGCGCTGGTCGCCCGATGCGTGCTTTCCAAGTAGTACCGCTTGTTCGCCATCCAGCTCCTCTTTCTCAGAAAAGTCTGAACGCTTGGTTCCGGGGGCAAGCTGGCCGGTGGCATTCGGTGATCGTTATGGTCATTTGACTACACTTATCCCTCCGGATTCCTCTCTCGGTTCCCCCAATCTCTCCAGTCCTGTCGACTCTAATATGGTCCTGTCGCGAGCCTCCTCGAAGGACTATCCCAGTGTCGTAAGTCATCTTTGTACCACAGAGTGAATTCGGGGCTACATGTTCTTGTCCATTGTTTGTCTTCTTGGGATTCGATGTTGCATGCCTTTCGTACGACTTACATTTTACCGCCGCCATTGTTGTGGTTGTGATACGTCCTTTGCGAGCGCGGCTTGAATGGCCTGGTTCATGTATTTACGCCTGGCAGTTCTACTGTAACTCGTGCTTTCATTACAGCATGTGATTTGCTGGGCCAGCTATCTTCTATCCAGTTGCTCGCAGAAGCCAGGTGCCAGATGTTTTGCGACTTCTCATCGTCAACTGAGCTCTACGCTTTCCGATCATCTCGGGAATCCTGGCAGCGATTCATACCCAGCTGCGTGTACACTGCGGGTGTTTTTATTCAATCCGGTTATAAATCCCGCTACGGCCAAACGTGCGCAGGAATCGGACCTCTACTCATCTTCTTCGCCCATCATACCTGTGTCTTGTTTGACGGATTCGCCTGGGGATGGCTCCGTCAATTCACACGCCGGACTTGCCAGTTCTCCTCGTTCATATCATTTGTGGGATAGTTTGAAGTTTGTCGGTGCCCAACCTTCGTAAGTCCTGGTTTTTGGGTAAATACTTTTTCTGTTTGAAGTGCACTGTTTTTTTCAGTTATCCCATCACAACTAGGCCACCTTCTGGTTCCGATTTATTGTTGCTAGAAGATGGAAGTATTCCTCAGATCAAACTAATTTGGTTTTGAGAGAGAGTCACCTGGAACCCAGCTGAATCTCCTTACTGTGATGCTTCGCCGATTTCGTGCAGTTTGGTTTCAAGTAGAACATAAGGTCGACGGAAACTCGGGGACTGCGCCTACCTGATGAGCCCCAAGAAAGGCGAAACCGGTCGTGGGCTTTCGACGAACTTTCAGCAACCCAATGAGTAGTGCATTGCAAATATACAGGTATCGCGATATCTCGAATATCATAGCGACAGAAGCATGAAGCGGCCTGGTGCAGCACATTCAGTTGCCTGGAAACATCACATACGAGAGATTCGGTTGGCTTCCATGTGAGTCCCTCGAAACACCAAATTAGTTTGCAAACGAGTGTATATTCGCTAATTTCGTGTAATTTGGTTTCAAGCAGAACATATTTGACGGAAACTCGGGGACTGTGCCTACCTGATGAGCCCCAAGAAGGGCGAAACCGGTCGTGGGTTGTCGACGAATTTTTAGCAACCTTATGAGTAGTGTACTACGAATATTCCTCAGATCGTTTAAACAATGAGGTTAAGTCTCGCAACACATCCTCACGCTCAGGTGGAAGCAAGGCTTTTAAGACCTCCTACTTCATCTACCACCGGTTCGTGTTCCTGGACATGTGAACAGGAAAGCGTGTGCCAAGCGATCCTAGGATGTGTTAATCAGCTTGTCTCTGCATTCTTCCTGTCCGGGAGGCTGGGAATCGTTTGGACTGCTCACTGATATTCGGCAAGCTCTTGCGTTCATACTTTTAGAACGAGCGTGTTGAACAGTGTTTGCCTCATTTTTTTGCATAAGTGATACCTACGTCCCTGTCACGAAGAGACTGGACTTTACCGTGGTGTGACGGTTTGCGCACCTCAGCGATCCATCGAGCTATACTGGGGAGTGTCCCCGTGACACTCACAGAGTCTCTCATACCAGATTTTCCATGGTTAGAGGTCTGACGAACACAGTCTCCTCGCTCTCCGGGTTGAGAGGTTGGAACATATGGCGACGTGTTCCGTTGAAATGGTAATACATTTGCATTTCCCACCAAGCACCGCTGTCCTGCGGTTAGGTGTTTGAGTCAAGGACTTTGATTGAGGACTCTAATCGTCCTTCTGTGTAGGTGTGGGCGCCCTGGCAGTATCCCAGCCCTCGTATCAGTGTCAACATTGATGTTGCTATCTTTGATGATGATAATGACGTGGATGGCTTTCAGAGTAACACATTAATTGAGCGCACCTCGAGAGGGATTGCCAGAGGATTTCAGTATGAACCACATACTCTCACTGAGCCTCATCTTTGAAGATGGTTTGGGGTGCTCTTAAAGTGCAGAACTTTCTTCTTCGTTCATTGCTCAAAACAGTAGGCGAATGGGTGATTCCATCAAAAACAGGCGAGCGAAGCAGGTGCTGCTTACCCCCCCCCAATCANCGGTGGGGGGGGGGGGGGGGGGGTAAGAACGCTTCCGTTTCACCCTAGCTGGTTCTGCATGATTAGTTGGAATGAGCACTTGTCATTCGGCCATAACATCAAAAGCGAACGACCTCATAGTCCGTTCTTTAGCGCAGATTGGTCATATTCAGGGCACTATTTCTACGTTCGATACATGCAAACGATTGATTCAGTGATCTCGGTATAGTGGAATGCTTCATGCTTATGCCCATATACTTGAACTACGTCAGTGAAGCATCAGTGTTGAAAACTGATGTCATGCTGTCGATGATGATGTAGAGTTTTGGGCGTAAGAGACGTTACCATAGGATCTTGAGAGCGACTTTGAAGGTAGGAAATAGATTGACTTTGACTAAACAAAAAGCAATTTAAGACGTAGGTTGACTGATCATCCGTGTTTGAAGATGCTAAAGTCAGCTGTCGACTTATGTCATTGAAGTTGGTTCGATCGATAACCACGTGTGACCTTGGAAACAAGTGTTTGCTTTGTTTACCGAGCTGGGCAGTTTGATCGTAAACGCTTCATCGCCACTCGGGGCGACATCATCACTGTGCGGTCAGGGAGAACAGCAGTGTGTCGGTTATTGCGCGTGTCTGTTAACCGGAGCTGACCTTCGATCATGACTGGCTGTTCGGTCGGGTGGTTCCATTGGTTGGTCCGTTATCCTAAATCCTGTCTGATCGGTGACCACGTGACCTTTGAGCTTGGTCTCCCTTGCTCTCGTACTCCATTCTGTCCTCGACCCCTCTGAGTTCCAGTTTGATCCAACTCCAGGGAGTTTTTTGTTTCTTGGCTTGTCAAACCGATATTCGGCTCTGTTTGAATACTATGGCTGAGATATTGATCCTTTGCACGTGGTGGTACGCGAATTAGATCAAGTTCAATGCGTCGGCTGATCGAATCCGTCTTGATGTGCCGTGCGTCCAGTTGTACAATCGGAATGATTGTAGTAAGCTAGCACCAAGTCCCTTCCCCGTCAACCTTTATTCTTTTCCTCGCAACAAGGCTTTCAAACAGATCATGGTTGTAGGGCAGCGAAGCACTCCCGTGTCTCGTGTTTTCCTCTGTCAAGATTTCTACGTTTCCCAGACCGAATTCATGACCTTAGTCTTTCTGTGTGGGTGCTAAGGATAGGGAATCATGTTCTGTTATTCGTGCCCATAATCTTCTCCCAGTTTGTCCAACGTAGAACTTGTTGCAGTTGTTAGTTTGTCAAAATATAGCTAGTTCGGGTGTGCTTACTGGTGGTTGATCATATGACAGTCGATCCGTTCGCCGCGCTTGGCAATTGGCTTGCAAACGTTTCGTCCTCAGGTGTGCACCGAAAGCAGCGATCCAACAAACCAATGGAATAAGAGGCATACAGACCACAACGCAACAAAAATCACGATCAGTCCAGCAATAATACAGCAAAGATATATACCAATTAGCCAATCTTCAAAAACTATATAAACGCAACTAGGCGCGGAGGAACCACCCGCTTAGCTGCGCACTGACGATGCTCCTCGACTGGAGACGAAACGTTTGCAAGCCAATTGTCAAGGTCGGCGAACAGATCAACTGCCATCTGATCAACCTCTCGTTGCAGTTGATTTGGTATGTCAGATTGTTCGTCTTGGTTCTGTCTTGGTTATTCCTCGGTCATGACATCAGTTTCCTTAAAGTAACATTCGGTTTTTTAGGCTTTGATGATTCCTTTTTGAGCTAATAATCTGGCATTGAGTTCAAAATAGGTCTACTTGCCTGGTCGCTTGTTTTTGATGTCATTGAGGCGTCTCCTTCTTAAAGCTTTTCCTGATAGGATTCCCCGGATATCGATTGTTCTGGACTACTCTGAATAGATGGTTTCCTTCCTTCTTCTTTGGTTCTGTGATGTGTCTCAGCCCTCTTGAACAGGGTCTGGACGCAGCTCTTCTTGTGGTTTACTGAATGGTTGTTGTTGTAGTGCAGTATTTGATCCGTATGTGCCTCGTTCCGGTATGCGAAGGTTTCCAGAGTACTTTATGCGCATTGTGTACTGAATCTCGTTTCGTGGTGATAAACGTGTCGTTCATGTAGCGGATCCATTGTTCTGGATTGATGGTTGGTAGTACCGCGTGTTCTGATCTTTACATTACCGCCCTTTTGACAAGCCTTGATATTGCGGATCCCATTGAAGTCCAAACGAATAACGCCAATAGCAAATGATGCTTTATATGACTGTTTTCAATAACGATAGATGATTGTGGATTGTGTTACCGTACTTTTTGACATGGGTAAGATTCGCTTGTGGTTTAGTTGCATCTGCCTGAATTATGGGAACTCAGGATAGGCTCAAACGCTCCCACGTCAGGAATACAGCCCACAGGGGGCGAGATGGCTCAAGTGGTTAGAGCGTGAATTTACTTACCAACATCTGCCTCTCGACTTCCCCCGTCTAGGCGTGGGCGACCTGGCAGTATCTCAGCCCTCGTGCAACCTTCGGATAGCATGGCAGCTAGGCACCTGAAGGGTGTTACGGCTGAACGATTGTTATACAGCCCACATTAGACATACGAAAGCTTCCATTTGTTTCCACTGGATTCAGGGTCCTTCATGAATTTCACACTCTGATTCCAGGGATATCCAGGATGCGATTCAGAAAAACTACTTTGGTGCAAATATAGGATGGTGAATATTCCTTTGGCGTTCATGAGATTCGCAATTAGTTCACCGCACACCAAAGTACAAAACCGTGTAATATTGTGTAGCATCTCGTGGCTACAAGACTGTCTTTCCATGGCTCCCACACCGGTGTGTTTCGCTGAAAGATAGCGTTGTTGATACATCCGTGCACACGATTGTGTTTCACTGAGAGACCAATCATACTTGTCATCACATCATTTCTTAGGTTAAACACAGTCGACCGTGGACGCCCAATTTAATCGTTGTTAGTTAGTCAACCATAAATCGCCGCTACACAGTCACCAATCAAATACCAACCGGGGTGCCTGTCAATTCTTGCAGCAAAAACGGAGCTACTCCGTCCAGTTACTTGTCATCGATCAGTCTCTGATACGAGAGTGAACATACTGGTTTCATGGAGCACGTCGCTAAAATCTAGGTTGTCTAGTTAGCCTCGCTTTATCAGACGGTGACAGGTGGCAAGATTTCTGATCACACAGTGCTATCTAACAAATGGATGTACATATTGTCCAACGCAATACCATCCTTGTCAAGTTTGTCTTCGTGAGACAGAATCCCAACGCTTTCTAGGAGCAATTCTAAGCTGCTCGTAATGCAGCAAATGACTTTATACCATCGTGGTCGACTGAAGGCCAGTAAATAACGCATCGCGTCTAACTTGAAAAAACATGTTGGAAAGATTTAAGGGTAACAAGGCCAATAACAAAAGGGAAAACGGGAGCGTCCTACGTCGTATTTCTCCAGAT